GCCACGTGTCGATGCACTTGAGGTGGAACCCGTGCCCGCACGGAGGCAACACCCTGACCAACTCGCCCTCCTCAAACTCCGCCAAGCAAATGGCGCAGTCCGCCAACTTCAAGTCGCCGGCGGACCCCACATCGAACGAAACCGTTGGCAACGAGTTGAGGACCTTCGTCTTGATCCCTCTATTGGTAGGCCGGGGAGAGGAGGCGGGCTGCCTCAGACAGGCACAGCGTGCCACAAGGGCGAGGCCCAATATGCAAATGACAGCACACAGAAGAGAGGCGAGGACGACCGCTACGTCGGAGTCCGTTGAGAGGTTTACGGACTGGTTCGAGTCCAGGAATTGGGCCGAGGATTGGAGGAACCTTGTGGCCGGAGGCAGGAGGCATTATTTTTTTTTTTTTGGGAGGATTTCTAAATGGGTTGATGGTTCAGTTGTACGAGTGAGCTACTCTTTATACTGTTGGGAAAGCGGAGGAGGGAATAAAGGTTAAGCAAATGAAAGTCAGTTAAGATCACAACGGGCGTTGGCATTGTTAGGTTGAGGGTGGATACCAACCTCCGACGACGATGAGGAGCTCCGGCGAAGCTCCGACGAGCTCCAGGTTGGAGCAGGCGAGCGTCGACTCAGCGAATTCGACGACGAACGCGATGGTGGCTTTGGGCGAACGCGACCCTCGCTCGACGAACGCGACCCTCGGTGTGAACGACCTGACCCGCGCGTTCAAGCTCGTCGACCCTCGCGTTCGAGCGACCCCCCACCATCGCGTCCGCTGCACCGCTGGCGACAGGCTGTCGCCAGCCCATCAACTTCGGCTATAAAACCCCCCCCGATGCCCTAGCTCCTGCTGCTCTCTCCCCCGACTTTTCTCTGGCGGCGGTGGCGAAGCCCCTTAACGCAGCAGCGTTTAATCCCTTTGAAAATCGCAGCAGCGATTTTATTTTTTGATCTCCAGCTCTCAAATTAGGGATTTGAGGGGAGATAAAGAAAGGGTTTAAGAAGAGAGAGAAAAGAGAAAAGGGTATTTTAAAGTGGGTATTAACACTGTAGCTACAGTGTTTAATTTGAGGAATCTCAGTTTAGAGATTTGCTCTTAACTTGTAATTTCTTGTTAGATTAAATAAGAAATTAACTGTGTGGCTCCCGAGGACGTAGGCAGTTGCCGAACCTCGTAAATCTTGGTGTACTGTTCTCTATACTGCGTTTCTGTTGCATTAGTGGATTTAGGCGTTAAATTCCCAACATATACATGTTCTCTATTAGTTTATTTGAAATCACAACTATGCATGAGAAGTTGTAAACACCTTTTCTTTTATTCTTGCAGGGATTATGGCTAGGTCTAATCTGTGGCCTCTTTTGTCAAGCGACCACTCTGCTAATTATCACTATTCGTTCCAAGTGGACTAAGTTGGATTTAGTAGCTCGGTATGAACGCTTGCTTGTTTAGTTGGACTATATATTATAAGAGAACATCATATGGAGATCTAGTTATAGAAGGTATTATCGGTACTGATGGTAAAATAATTTTTTGCATGCAAACAGTTGAATATGGTAAACATTTGGAAATATCTGATATGAAGAGTATTGCTTCCCTGCTTTCTCATAGGTGGACTAAGCTGGCCTCTATGTTTGTTTTATTATAGATGAAGAAAAATGATAAAGAAAAAGTTGAAGTTTGACGACGTTCGTGATCTGGTTCTCAGTGAGGAGATCCGACGGAGAGAGTCGGGTGAAGCTACAACCTCTTCAGTATTGCATACAGAGTCAAGAGGTAAAAGTTCAACCAGAGGAAATGGATCAGATGATAGGAGATCCAAATCCAGAAATCCCAACAGTTCGAAGGCTATCGAGTGTTGGAAGTGCGGGAAAACCGGGCACTACAAGAATCAGTGCAGGAGTGCACGGGAGGAGTGGGAGGCAAATGCAGATGTGAATGTTGCCTCCACCTCAGGAGGAGATGATGCGCTGATATGCTCTTTGGAGAGCAAGGAGGAGTCTTGGGTGTTGGACTCGGGAGCATCATTCCATGCTACTTCTCAGAAAGAATTCCTCGAGAAGTATATCCCCGGAAACCTTGGAAATGTATATCTTGGTGACGATCAAGCATGTGCCATTATTGGCAAAGGTGTAGTGAAGATTAAGCTGAATGGGTCAGTATGGGAGCTGAAGGATGTCAGGTATATTCCCGACCTGAAGAGGAACTTAATCTCAGTAAGCCAGCTGGCTAGTGAAGGCTACACGATGACTTTCCATGGAGATGACTGGAGGATTTCGAAGGGCGCAATGACGATTGCCAGAGGCAGGAAGACTGGTACCCTGTATATGACAGCGGGTGCACGTTGTTCGATCTCAGTTGCGGCAGGCAATGAGACTTCAAAGTTGTGGCACCAGAGACTCGGTCATATGAGTGAAAAGGGGATGAAGGTTATGCACACAAAGATAAAACTCCCAGGTTTACAATCAGTAGAGATTGATGTGTGTGAAGAATGCATACTTGGAAAGCAGAAGAGAGTTAGCTTTCAGGCAAGTAGCAGACCCCCCAGGAAGCAGAAGCTAGAGCTTGTTCACTCAGATGTTTGGGGACCAACAACCACCGCGTCGATTGGTGGGAAACACTACTTCGTGACTTTTATTGATGATCACTCTCGGAAAGTATGGGTCTACTTTCTGAAGAAAAAGTCAGAAGTGTTTGAGGCTTTCAGAAGATGGAAAGCCATGGTCGAGAATGAGACCGGTTTGAGGGTAAAGAAACTCAGAACAGACAATGGTGGTGAGTATGAAGACACCAGATTCAAGAAGTTCTGCTATGAGCACGGTATCAGAATGGAGAGGACCGTGCCCGGCACGCCTCAGCACAATGGTGTGGCTGAGCGCATGAATAGAACGTTGACAGAGAGAGCCAGAAGCATTCGGATGCAGTCAGGTCTACCGAAGCAGTTCTGGGCAGAAGCAGTCAACACAGCAGCTTACTTGATCAACCGAGGTCCATCGGTTCCATTGGAGCACAGAATACCAGAAGAGGTATGGTGCGGAAAGGAGGTAACCCTCTCACATCTCAAAGTTTTCGGTTGTGTAGCTTATGTGCATATAAGTGATCAAGGCAGGAATGAGCCTGATCCCAAGTCCAAGAAATGCACATTCATCGGGTATGGTGAAGACGAGTTCGGCTACCGCATTTGGGACAACGAAAACAAGAAGGTGATCAGGTGCAGAGATGTGACATTCAACGAGAAGGTGATGTACAAGGACATGCACAAGACAGATGACGGTGACTCAGAGAGCGAGTCAACATTTGTAGATACAGATGATGTTCCGGATAACCTCTCGAAAGAACCCAATGCAGAAGGTCCTCAGCCAGAAGAGCCTGTTGGACAGAACGGTGCGCAGGAGCCCGACGCACCAGCTCCGATATTGAGGAGAACTACTCGTCCTCCTGTGCCTAACAGCAGATACATGAATTATATGTTGCTGACAAATGGAGGAGAGTCTGAAAGCTTTGATGAAGCTTGTCAGAGTGGAGATGCGAGCAAGTGGGAGTTTGCTGCGAAAGAAGAGAAGAAATCTCTGATCTCCAACCAGACATGGGGACTAGCTGAGTTGCCCATGGGGAAGAAGGCACGTCACAACAAGTGGGTGTATCGAGTGAAGAAGGAACAGGGTGGTTCCAGAAGATACAGAGCCCGACGAGTTGTCAAAGGATTTCAACAGAATATCCAAGGAAGAAAGGATCCAGCGGATATGTTGACAAAGGCAGCGACCTTTCAGAAACTGGAGTTGTGTGCAACTTCAGTTGGCCTTCATGCATAGATGATGAGGGCGGAGCCACACAGGAGAGGAGCTTGATGAGATAGTCAGTTGCCGTCGGTTTGGTCTCCAAGTGGGAGATTGTTAGGTTGAGGGTGGATACTAACCTCCGACGACGATGAGGAGCTCCGGCGAAGCTCCGACGAGCTCCAGGTTGGAGCAGGCGAGCGTCGACTCAGCGAATTCGACGACGAACGCGATGGTGGCTAGCTCCTGCTGCTCTCTCCCCCGACTTTTCTCTGGCGGCGGTGGCGAAGCCCCTTAACGCAGCAGCGTTTAATCCCTTTGAAAATCGCAGCAGCGATTTTATTTTTTGATCTCCAGCTCTCAAATTAGGGATTTGAGGGGAGATAAAGAAAGGGTTTAAGAAGAGAGAGAAAAGAGAAAAGGGTATTTTAAAGTGGGTATTAACACTGTAGCTACAGTGTTTAATTTGAGGAATCTCAGTTTAGAGATTTGCTCTTAACTTGTAATTTCTTGTTAGATTAAATAAGAAATTAACTGTGTGGCTCCCGAGGACGTAGGCAGTTGCCGAACCTCGTAAATCTTGGTGTACTGTTCTCTATACTGCGTTTCTGTTGCATTAGTGGATTTAGGCGTTAAATTCCCAACAGGCATAATTAATAGTCTGATTATGCTATAAAATTGTATAATGATTGGACTGAGGGGAACTTAAAAAAGACAATAATTAGCAAAATAGACCATTTTGCTAATTATTTAGCAAAATAGACTTTTTTTGGCCTGTTAACAAAAAAGAGGTCGATTTAAAAAACAGACTACTGAAAACATACGAGACGTTTTTTGTGAGCACTAATCCACGATTAGTGCACTAAAAACATACGGGACTACTAGTCTCGTATGTTTTTAGCAGTTTATTTTTTAAAATCGAACTCTTTTTTACTTGTTGGCCAAAAAGAGGTCTATTTTGCTAATTAATTAGCAAAATGGTCTATTTTGCTAATTAATTAGCAAAATCAGTCTTTTTAAAAAAAAATTCCCTTAGACTGATGTAGAATTGATCCCGGGACACGTGTCAGGGTCTCCTTCCGTTCTGTGCTAGCTATAGTAAAAAAATAAAAAATTTAATTAGGTTTAAGTGGGGCGGGTACGACACTAAGGGGGTGTTTGTTTGGATGCAAGTGAAAGATGAAAATGAGAAAGTTACTTTCATTTAACAATTAAGGTGTTTGTTTTCATGTAAGTGGTTATGAAAGTGAGATGCAAGAAAGTTGCCACATATGATTTAATGTAATTTTGACTTCCCCTAAAAAAGTGGTGAAGTCACATGAAAGTGAAAAAAAATATAACTAATTTAATTAAATAATTTTAATTATACTCTCTAATTAATCTTATTTTGCCATGTCATCTTCATATTGTACTTTCGATAATAATTTAATTTTTCAAACAAACACTGTATTTCACTTACGTGCTGACATTGATGTAAAAGTCATTTGCAAAAAAAAAATAACTTACATATTTTAAATTCACTTTCAGATTACTAAACACCCTCTAAACAGGGTGAACCCGATTTTTTGTTGCGGTTATTCTTGCTAGCTGGATTAGTGGTGGATAACAACATATATAC